AAAAAAAAAAAAAAAAGCAGTTGGAAGGTTTTGAATAGAGAAGAGCCATGGTGTGACTTAGTTTTTAAAGATTTATCTGGCTGCTGTGTAAAAAATAATAGGACAAAAATGGAAGCAGAAAGCCAGTTAGCAGAGACTACTTAAGAGTCCAGGTCAAGTGACATACTGGAGGGAAAGAGAGGAGAAGTTATTAGATTCAAGATGTGTTTTGAAAGTAAGAATCCACAGATTTGAGGATGGATTAGAAATTGGGGAAAGAAGAAAAGAGATCAGGAATTACTCCAGGGTTGGCCTTGGGGGTACTCCAGGGTAAACTCTACAGGGCTGGGAACCCCTGAGGAGGTGCAGGTTTAGAGCTGTGTGGGTCTGGAGTACAGATTGGTAATGATAACTGTGAGATGCTTGTTAATCAAGAAGGCAATAGGATAAACTGTTTTGGAGTTGTAGAGAGAAGCTGGGGTGGAGTCAGAAAATTGGGAGCCATCATGAGATGATGCTTAAAGCCAGATGGCTGAATGAGAACATCCAGGGGGTGAGTGTGGCAACAGTGTAGCAGAGGCTAGAGGACTGATCATAGGAGGAAAACCAGGAGCGGGAGTTACAGACAGAGCAAGTAAAGAATAAGGGAAGGATCAACTCTGTCAGTTGCTTGCGGAGCAAGTTAAGGGTTGAGCACTGATTTTTATTTATTTATTTATTTATTTATTTATTTATTTTTAGATGGGGTTTCCACTCTTGTCACCCAGGTTGGAGTGCAGTGAGGTGATCTCAACTCACTACAACCTCCACCTCCCAAGTTCAAGCGATTCTCCTGCCTCAACCTCCCGAGTAGCTAGGACTACAGGCATGCACCACTACGCCCAGCTAACTTCTGTATTTTTTTAAGAGATGGGGTTTCACCATGTTGCCCAGCTAGTCTCGAACTCCTGACTTCAGGTGATCTCACTACCTCAGTCTCCCAAAGTGCTGGGATTACAGGCATGAGCCACCATGCCCAGCTGAGCACTGGTTTTTCAATTTGGGAATTTTGACAATGTTAGCCATCATCTGTTGGGTCTGTCCAGTAGACCCTGGCAGATGGATGAAATGAATACTCAGACAGAAGTATGCAGTGTAAGAGTAGCTAGGTTACTGCCTGGCTCTAGTGACCAGAGAGCAGCCCTGAGAACCCAGAGCTGCTTGCTTTTATTCAGTGCAGGCACAATGCTGAAAACCTGGAGCAAACACGACCTGTAGGTAATTAAAATGTATTGTTTCCCTTTCGGAAATGTCATGCTCGTGCACAAAGGTCAGTTCCTGTAAACAAGTAAACAAACCTGTTTAAGACAAATTCCCCTACACTCCCTTGAACCTTGTACCTTGCCTTCTGCCCCAGAATTATAGAACAGCTGCCTTCAGAAGCCGACCGTTCAGAAGGTTTGTGTCTTTTCCCTATAGTTTTTCCCACCACTCTGACCTATCCCCTACAATCATCAGCATTATTGATTTTTAAAAAAACTATTATAGAACTTATTTATATAATTTCAATTCACCACTGTTTATGACCATATTTCAAGTTCTTTAAAGAGAAGAACAAATGTTATTTATTTTTCTACTCCAAGAGGACCTGGAACTTGGTAGATGCTAATAAGGGTATATTGGACAAATGGATTGATGAGTAGTGAGTCAGCGAATAGTACTCATATTTCTGGTTTTATTTTACTATACCAAATATAACCTTTTTCTGAATAGTAATTTCTTAAATGTTTATTTTCTCAAGCACAGCCTGTAAGAGTTTGGTATTATCACCATAAGACACTGAACCCTCATATTACGTTATTTCTTAAAAAAAAAATTTTTTTTTTTTGAGACAGAGTCTTGCTTTGCCACCCAGGCTGGAATGCAGTGGCACAATCTTGGCTCACTGCAGCCTCTACCTCCCAAGTTCACGAGATTCTCCTGCCTCAGCCTCCCGATTAGCTGAGATTACAGGCATGCACCACCACACCCAGCTAATTTTTGTATTTTTAGTAGATGGGGTTTCACCATGTTGGCCAGGCTGGTCTCAAACTCCTGACCTCAAGTAATCCACCCACTTTGGCCTCCCAAAGTGCTGGGATTTCAGGCGTGAGCCACCACGCCTGGCCTAAATTTTTTTTTTATTGATACATAATAGGTGTACATGTTTTGTGGGTACATGTGATAATTTGACACATTATCAAATTGGGGTATCTGTCTCCTTAAGTAATTTATCTTGAGCCAGCCACAGTGGCTCATACCTGTAATCCTAGCACATTAGGAGGCTGAGGTGGGAGGATTGCTTGACCTCAGGAGTTGGAGACCAGCCTGGGCAACATAGTGGAACCGCATCTTTACAAAAAATACAAAAAAATAGCTGGGCATAGTGGCACATGCCTATAGCTGAGATGGCGTCATTGCACTCCAACCTGGGTGACAGAGTGAGACTCTGTCTCTTAAAAAAAAAAAAAAAAAAATTCCTTTGGTTGCAGGTGACAGAAAATAAGGCCCAAGCTCACTTAAGCAAACGGGAAATTTACTTACAGTTTACATTATTATTTTTCAAAAACCTTTGCTGCCCCTGTCCACCCTGTGACATCAATCTTGAGCATGTGATTTGTTCTGGCCAATTATATGCAAGTGGGAGGCAACTTCAGGCAGATAGTTCAGAGCCAGCACTTCTTTTCCTACTCTCCTTCCCCTCTGTTACAACAGGTGGTTTTCTAGAGAGAGACTGCTCTATTTTACTGAATCCCAGATTAAAAACAACGATCAAGCAGAGCTGCAGGTAGCCCATGGAGCATAAGCAAGAAATAATTTTTGTTTTTGTAAGCTTATGAGCATTTAGGAAGTATTTATGATTACAGCATAATTGTTTATGATTAAAGTAAAGTCACGTAACTGGAAAAGTCCACCAGGATGTCTGATTACAGGCACTGCTGTAAACAAGGACTTAACCAATGTCCTTAATGGCTCAATTTCTCTGTCTCTTCACTCTGCCTCTTGCTATGAGGGCTTCATCTTCAGGCTCCATGCAGTCTATCTTGCAGTTCCGGAAGCACCTCTAAGATTGCAAGAGGGTTACAGCAACTCTAAACTTTATATATATTCAGCTCTCAGCTTCACAGCCTGTGGACAGAAAAAATTTGCTCAAAACAGAAGTCTTGAGATTTGGCCCGATTTGGGTCATATATCTACTCCTGAGGCAATCACTGTGGAAGCCAATGAGGTGGTCAGTCAAACTTGTTGGGATGGCATCTCATCCATGCACTTTCTGAGTGGAGTAGGCAGATCCCACATGAAAGTTTAGGCATGTTGCTGGAAGAAAGGGGAGACAGGTGCTGAGGAGTTAAGCAACAACGACTTTCTTTATCAATAATGGTTATTATTATTCTCATTTTTTGTGGGTAAGGAATTAAGGCTCAGAGAGTTTCAGTAACTTGCTTGAAGTTACATGGTGTGTATAAACGGCAAGATTTTTTTTTTTTTTTTTTTTTTTTGAGATGGAGTCTCACTCTATCACCCAGGCTGGAGTGTAATGGTGTGATCTTGGCTCACTGCAACTTCTGCCTCCCAGGTTCAAGTGATTCTCCTGCCTCAGCCTCCTGAGAAGCTGAGATTACAGGCATGTGCCATGACACCCGGCTATTTCTTTTTTATTTCTTAGTAAAGCTCCACCCGCCTCAGCCTCCCAAAGTGTTGGGATTACAAGTGTGAGCCACTATGCTGGCCTAAATGGCAGGATTATAACACTGATCCATTTGACTAGAAAGCTTGTTTAATCCTTACTACAAGAATCTTATAATAGAACACTCCTTATTCCCATCAAGTGATCCACCCACCTCAGCCTCCCAAAGTGTTGGGATTACAAGTGTGAGCCACTGTGCTGGCCTAAATGGCAGGATTATAACACTGATCCACTTGACTAGAAAGTCTATTTAATTTTTACTAGAAGAGTCTTACAATAGAGCACTCTTAGTTCCCTGATCTCTCCCTTCATGCCCCCTAATGGCACTTCCTTAAAACCATTCTAGCTAAAAAACTCCAATTCATCTTACATTTTCTTGCTACTGCAAAAACACTGGGGCCAGGTGTGGTGACTCATGCCAGTAATCCTAGCAATTTGGGAAGTCAAGGGGGAGGATAGCTGGAACCCAGGAGTTTAAGACCAGTTTGGGCAACAAGGTAAGACCCTGTCTATACAAAAAAATTGAAAAGTTAGCCTGGCTAACATAGGTGTGGTGGTGCACACCTATGGTCTCAGCTACATGGGAGGCTGAAGCAGGAGGATCACTGGAACCAGGAGGTCAAGGCTGCAGTGAGTTGCATTCATTCCACTGCATCTGTTGTGGAAAATTTTACCTGACAAGAAACCCAAGCAGCACTTAGGGAAACGGAGGAACATACTTTATTATGCCAGCAGGCCTAGAAGTGTTCACAGCCAAAAGTCTGAACCCTGGCTAAGAAACGTAC